CCTAGTCGGGCTCGATCGGGGTCGAGTCGGTGCGAAATATTCGTCAACAGCCCATAGCAGGTTGGCTGGTTAGGTAATCTTAAACTGAGCATAGGTGCAATAAGGAATGCAAACAACAGCCAGCATATAATTGATGGTGACTACATGCAAATGGGGATACATGCAACAAAAGGAATGTTACGTATGGAGAAAGAAACTGAGCATAGGTACTCTTATCCGATGTACTCTATAAAAGCCTCTACAGACCAAGTGAAGGGTCCAAAGCATCAAGGATCCCTTGAAACAGAGACCAAAATGTAATATTCCCTTCCCTCAAACACCAAATTATAAAAAGAGAATGATATGAAAAATAGAAATGTATTGCTACAAACCATCCAAAAGACCACCAGCTTCTTTTCATGGCGCTTTTCTGCTGAGATGACTCCTTTGATTTCACTGACTCGAGCTTAGCATGCGCCAGCAACCTTAAAATGCAGATAACAGTTCGTAAAGTGACGACATTACAAAAACTAGATGTGAAGCAACATAAGTAATTTTGAAATGAAGGAATTTTCAGAAAAGAAACAACAGAAAATGCATATCTAAATCAAATCACACCTCCAAAGTAATATAACTTTTGAATCCAGAATTCTCTCAATCTGCCGCAAGGAAGAAACATGTGTGTTAGTTGTTTGTTGCAAAGAAGAAGCATAAATCTGAACATAGCAACGACGAAGTTGACAAAGATGCTTGATCCTCTCCCAGGATAACCAATAACTGCAGAAGAAAAAACACTAAAATTAGATGGGCTCAAACAATGAACTGTCTAAAAGAACCAAAAAAATTCACCCTAAGAGCCATGTCGAGAGATTTAAACGGATTGACAAAGGATGGACAAAAAACTTTTGAAGTTATTGGATAAAAGACTCTAGAAAATTAAACTAAATACCATTTAACGGAACAATGTTAACAATGGTGAAGTTCCAATAGTTTATCGAGTACAAAACATACCAAAGTTTCTTTTGCTGCATGCTAGCCAGCATTGCATAGCGCCACCATGCATGAGGATCTTCAAAAATTGACACTACAGGTCTCAAATGAGAAACCTCAACACGTGTCTTATATGTAGAAACTGCTTCAAGTAATTTTATGCCATCATAATACTGAGCCTGATAGTTAAAATGAAAAGATCATTTTTACAGAACTATGATATATTTCACAAGGGATCATATCATTTATAAAGTGCAGAGGACCTCAGAAACAGTCAAAGAAACATCAGTGAGGGAAAGTGAGGCTTTCTCAAAAGGAATTTGGGGGTTCTGCCTTTCTTGCTTTCCAAGACGATGGTATTTAAGAACACCATTTATAGGGGATACCAAGTATCTCCGATCCTTTGCCCATAAAGACACAGTTTTGTCGCCATCAAGCTCACCAATTCCATCTTGGAAAATCTAAACCGTTCAAAAAATTTAGTCAATGGATTTGTACATTACCACATGGAGCTTCAAATAAATACAACACAAAATAACTGAAATAAAATATCATAAAACCTCACTCCAATCTGCAGGATTCAAATCTTCCCAGCTCTTTCCAGGGTTCCAAGAAACACTGTCATTATCATGATACACAGCCAGTCGTAGCAGTCGAAAGGACTAGAAAAAACATAATGGCTCCAATAATGAGGATAAGATTACAGCAATATCAAAACATTAATAAATTTCAACGATAAATAAAAGAAAAGCTATAATAGTTGACAGCAAATGCATTTAATGATAATATTAAAAAGAAACTGAAAAGTTACAAATTTAATAAGTGGGATTTACATACAACACAACAATGCATTGTGATGTGTTTACATATATAATACCTAAATCTTTATATTTACTTATATATCGCCCAAATGTCTAAAAGATATTAGCATATATGCATGAAAAGGTGTATTTTACTTCAGATAAGTTAATCTTATTGATATCTTCATTCTATTTAGAGAAAAAACTATTATATAAATAAATATAATAATTTAGGTGCTAAATATGTAAATAAATAAGATCTTAATGATATGCATGTCAATCCCTCATTGTAAACACAACAAAGGCCAAATCAATAGAATTCAACTCCAATCCCTGTTTAGAATGTTAGGCAGCTACTTAATTAAATGAAAGAAGTACATGAAAATCATTGTTAAATATGGATCATATATTTTGGTTAACATAAATAATAACCCACCTTGTAAAATTGCATGGCTCAAAAAATACATAACTACAAACCAACACCCACAGTGAGCTTCAATCCAATAAATGTACTGACAACAATGACTTGGCTAGGATGCCAGGAACCGACTTAAAACATGTTTGGCTAGCATTTGCCATATACTATTATGTCATGTTACTAGAAAAAATTAGTTTTCTGGTTTGAGAGCATACATGTGAAATAATTACATAAATGACATTCAGGTCGTATTTTTTTATGACATTTAGATGCAGGTCAATATATCAACATCTGAATTTAGGTTAATGACCACGTGAATGATAGAGAAAAAAAGAAAGATCATAATCATTATTAGTGCTCAAATTACATTGTTCAAGTAGAACTAAACCAAACATACAGCATTTAATAGAAGGCAACATTACAATAAGATTATAATCTAGATAAATTTGATAGGAAATACTTGAGTTCGCAAGTAATCCTATCAGATTTACTTCAGTTTGCAAGCAAACCTAATCAATAATTAGTAAAACAGCGAGAAAACGAAAGAATCATGGTGGAAGAACAAACAAACGATAGCAAACTTTTATAACAATCAAAGAAAACAAGAACAAAGCAAAAAGATACAAGAGATCCTCAATACGAGAGGAGGATCGTCTCTCCCAAATCTCTAGACAAGATTGTCTAGAGCTCAAGCCTCCAAAAAATCCTAAATTCAATCAATCAAAACATAATCCTCCCTCTAATCCTTCTTTTCTCTCTTAATACAAAAACATTCATAAAATATTCTCCTTCCAAACCTTAGCCGCCCCCTCCTCTTTGAAATTCAAATCTATTTGGCAAGATGGGGCCCACCATGTGGCCAGTCAAACCCAAGGGAGGCGGAACATGTCCGCCTCTTAAAACCCGAATCGGCCCTTGGGCCGGTTCAGGAACTGGCAGCACATCAATACTGCATCCCAAAGAATCACCTTGTCCTCAAGGTAAAAACAAGGAAACTGCTGTTTCATCCTCTCATATGGCTCTCACGTGGCCTCGTAATCAAGGAGGTTCTTCCACTTGATCAGCACTTAGTTCCATCTTCACTCTGGCAAATCCCCTCCAGCTCTATGGGTTCTAGAACCATCTCTAAATCCTCAGTAAGTGTCCCTGGTAGCTCGGGGTTGGCTGTGTAGTCACCAATGGCCTTCCTCAACTGTGAGACATGAAAAATTGGATGTATAGTCGCCGCTGGTGGTAATTTCAGTCGATATGCTACAGCCCCAATCTTCTTCAGCACTTCCTAAGGCCCAAAATACCTTGGAGCCAACTTTTCATTCCTCCTATTAGCGACTGTCTTCTGTCTATAAGGTTGGAGCTTCAAGAACACCCTCTCCCCCACTTCAAATTGGATGTCCTTCCTATGCCCATCCGCCTATTTCTTCATAATTTGTTGAGTTCTCAGTAAATGCCTCTTCAACTCCTCTAGCACTCGGTCCCTCTCCTCCAAGTACTACTCTACTGACGAAACGGGGGTACTACTACTCCCAAAGTGCACCAAGTGTGGGGGATCCAGTTCGTACAACACCTTGAATGGGATCATCTGTGAAGCAGAATAAAAAGATGTGTTGTACCGGTACTCTGCCCAAGATAGCTACTTGGCCCATAACTTGGGTGTCTCTGGCACAAAGCATCTCAGGTATGTCTCCAAGCTCTTGTTGACTACTTCCGTCTGGCCATCCGTCTATGGGTGGTAAGTTGTGCTCCTCTTGAGAACTGTCCCCTGTAATCTAAATAACTCCCTCCAAAAGTGACTGAGGAACGCCTTATCTCTATATGATACGATCGTCTCTGGTACTCCGTGTAATCTAACCACCTCCCTGATGAAGGCTGACGCTACTGTCACTACGGTGTAAGGGTGTCGGAGAGGAATGAAATGTGCATACTTGCTCAACCTGTCCACCACCACTAAGATCACCGTGAACCCCTCTAAGTGGGGCAACCCGTCTATGAAATTCATAGATATCTCCTCCCACACTATACCCGGTAGAGCTAACGGCTATAGTAATCCTCCTGGTGACATAGCGAGGTAGTTATTCCTTTGGCAAACCTCACATCTGGCTACCATCTCCTCTACATCTTTATGCCTTCCCTTCCATTACAGCTCCGCAGCTAACCTCCTGTGTGTCTTCTGTACACTTGAATGGCCCCCCACCGCGCTTCCATGAAACTCCTGGAGTAAGTTTGGGATGTAGATCGAAGTCCAGGGCATCACAAATTTCCCCTGATATAGCAGTTTGTCTCCCTCCAATAAGTACCTCGGGTGGCTACCCAGTTCCTTCAGTAAATCTGACCTGATCTTTCCCAAACCTTCATCTCTAGCACTTTCTACTCTGATGACTTCCCAGTCAAGCATCAACGGAATGTATAGTGCCACTCATAGTTGTCAATGGCGCAAAATAGCGCACTCTATGGCGCACGGCACTGCGCGGCGCACCTACGATGCTATGTTCATGACGAGGAGCATGTGTTTAAAATAGCGCGCGCTATTTGCGCCACATGTGAGCCATGGCACATGGCGCACGGCGCAAAGTAGCGGCCAAATTGTTTAAATGTGACGTCCACCTCTTAAAATTAAAAAAAATGCTCGGCACCGCTAGGTACATGCTCGGCACCGCTATGTACATGCTCGGCACCGCTATGTACATGCTCGGCACCGCTAGTAACATGCTCGGTACCGCTATGTAATTGCTCGGTACCGCTAGGTACATGCTACCGCTATATACATGCTCGATACCGCTATGTACATGCTCGATACCGCTAGGTACATGCTCGGTACCACTAAGTATCTTTCCATACAAACGACTTATGAACTTTAAAAATAAGCATAACTTCAAAATTACCCTTACAAATAAAATTTGTTCCGGGGGCAGCGCCCCCGGAAACTCCCGCAAGGGCGCTGCCCCTTGACCCTGCGACATGACCGGGCAGGTCAAACCCCGCCAGAGGGCAGTGCCCTCTTGGACCCCGGCACCCCGGTATATTGTTATATTCATCATCGTTAGTAATAATTGTTAGTGTTAGTCTACTTTTTCATGAGTGCATGCTTTGTATAAGTTTTCTTCATGAGTGCATGTTTTGATTGGGAGACATTGGACTCTATAGGAGAGGAGGAACGGGTGAGGGCTTTAAATGTGAATTATTGTCTGATGGTAGCGATAAGGTCGTACACTGATGGGAGACACTCCCTCCTTTAACACGATGGCATGCTCCTGCTCCCTCTGCGATGGCAATCCCTGTAGAAGCTAAAACACCTCTTGGAACTGCTGAATCAACGACTGAATGGAGAGGGGTATGTCTCCTCCCTCCAATCTCACTCCCTCCAAACTGTGCAGCTCCACCAAATACCCTCCACATGCCAACTGAATGTCTCTCACCATCGTTTTAATAGAAATCAGGGATTTGGAAAGCCTCGCATCTCCTTTAATCACTACCTTCCTTCTATCCACCATCAACTCCATCGTGAGTGCTCCCCAATTCACTTTGGTGACTCAAAAGTTTGCAGTCATTTCATCCCCACGATGACGTCTGTGCTCCCAAGCTCTAGTTGAAGAAAGTTTTCCCTCACCTGTACCCCCCGAATCGTCAGTCGCACTCTTCTGCAAATCCCCCGGCCTTTCTCCACCTTCCCCATACCCATTATCACACAGTAACAGCCGGTGTCCACCAATCTCACTCCTAATTGGTCGACAACCGGGGTGAAAATGAAATTGTGAGTATCCCCACTATCAATCAGCACCACAACCTCCCTGTCCTCTATCTCTCCCTTCACCTTCATGGTGTGATTCGTAGTGAATCCTACCACTGAGTTCAGGGAAACTTCAGTCAGATCCAAGTGTAGCTTCTCCTCTATCTCCTCCTCTATCTCCTCCGCACCTCCTCCGTTTCCTCGTCATCACAAACGGTGAGAGCTTGAAGAGTTCGGTCCTTGCACCGATGCCCTAGCATGTACTTTTCATCGCACCTGAAGCAAAACCCTTTAGCCCTCTTCTCCTGCATCTCTTCTTCCGTCAGCAGCTTGAAATTTCCCCCGCTTCCTCCTCTTGTCTTCTCTTTGGTGGCCTCTCGACTCCCTCATGTTGCAAGACCTTTAGGTGCTAGATGAGTAGTCGCCATCCTGTATGTGTCCCTGATGCTGCTACTCCTGGCTCCCTCTCCAAATTCGTCTGATTTTCCACCAGTTGGGCCAACTTCATGGCCTCCCCCAAGTCACGGGGCATTAAAACCTTCATTGCTTCTCAGATCTCCACCTTCATCCCTTTCATGAAATTTCCCTCCAATATTGTATCTAAGAGTCGCTCCACCCTGCTAGTTAGGTGCTTAAACTGCTCTCAGTAATCTACTACTGATCCCTCCTGTGTCAGAGCAAAGAATTGCTCATAGAAGACTCCTCCCCGATCGGTTTGAAAAAGCTCTATTATGCAGTCTTTGAATTCCCTCCAGTTCCTGATTGGCCTCCATCTCTCCACTGAAACCACGATAGGGCTTTCCCTTCCAAGCACAATCCCACTACTATCAACTTCTCCTCCGTCAACCCATTGACGGCAAAGTACCACTCTACCTTGTAAATCCACCCATACGTATCTTCTCCTTCGAATATGGGCATCTTCAACTTCCTCACCTTCTGGTCTCCCCCATTGCCTCGGATTCTTCCATAGTTTCCTCTCTCCCGAGTGCTAGATGCACCCCATGTTTTCCAGTCTTCCCTTGCTCTTCCATAGCCCAACCTCCCTTCGAAATCCCCCCTACTGTCTTCAAAATCAACACCTCGACGACCGTAGTATCCCTCATGGCATCCCCCATATCCACCTCCTCTCTCTTCCCTCTGGACAGGCCAGATGGGGACTTCTTCCTTCTCCTTCCATGATTCCTCCCTACGAATTTCAGAATTCGTACTTTTCCCTTCCACTCTTTTTGCCACGGAAGCCACCTTTTTGTTTTGAATTTCTAAAATCTTCTTCATCATGTCCCGGAGATCGGCGACTTATCCTTCCATGGAGGAAATCCTTTCCTCGACCGTCGTTTTGATTAGATTGATCTCTCCTTCAAGTCTTTCCTCCAAAGCATCCACATTTTTGGCTGCCATCTTGATCCGAACTTTTGAAATCCAAAAATTCAAGATTTGGATTACAAAAATAGAAACTTCGTCTCTCTTCCACGAACGGTCCCAAGACTTGCTCTGATACCAATTTAATAGGAAATACTTGAGTTCGCAAGTAATCATATCAGATTTAGTTGAGTTCGCAAGCAAACCTAATCAATAATTAGTAAAACAGCGAGAAAATGAAAGAATCGTGGTGGAAGAACAAACAAACGATAGCAAACTTTTATAACAATCAAAGGAAACAAGAACAAAGCAAAGATACAAGAGATACTCAATTCAAGAAGAGGATCGTCTCTCCCAAATCTCTAGACAAGATTGCCTAGAGCTCAAGCCTCCAAAAAACCCT